TGGTGGAGGGATGATATTATATTCATACTCTTGCGCCATCTGTTTGACACTTTTTCGTGGTTTTGGGATTGGTCCTATGCTTTTTGTTGTAGAGACTGGTTTATCGTCTGTGATTATGTAGTCACTCTGCTTTGCCATTTGTTTAATGCTTGGTTTGGGAGTCTGGGAGTTTGTTTTTTTCGGTAATCTCTTCAAATGACTTTATCAATTCTGAATACATCTTGTTTTGCTTTTAACAATTCTTCAGTAAAGAAACTTCCTTTAATTTCCTCACCATTCAAGTCTTCTATTTTGTAAAGTGATTGGATCAGTGTATCGGATTTTATCTGCAGTAGATACCTCCTCTGTCCAGTTTGGAGGATATCCTTTATCGAATGTCCCTCTCTCGTATAGAGATATTCAAACCTTATCACCTACTTCAAATTTCGGTTTGGATGATGATGGTTCCGTAGAACCATATAGATTGAAGTAACAATTCCTTCATTCTTCTTTTTACTTGCTTTTACTGGTGTTATTTTGATGCTAGAATCTTTTGTGTCATCATACTGTTTCAATATTTCAGGTAGTATGTGTAAATACTGTGTATTACCTTCAATTTTAAACTTTTTCCATTTCTCTGTTTTATTGTTCTATTCCATCTTTCAACAACACTGGATTTTTCTTCATTTTCTGTTGAGTACATTGTTGTGTCGTGTTTGTTTAATATCTCTTTGAGGTTTTTATTACAGAACTTCTTACCCTTGTCAACCCATAGATGTTGTGGTCGTCTGCCTTCTTTGAAGATGGTCTTAAATGCTTCAGTTACAGTTTTACCTTATCTTTCAAAGGGTTTTTCTATCCATATATACTGAATACGTCAATAACCATAAGCAGATATTTATACCCCTTATTCCATTTATTGAAACTTTGCATATCAACAAGGTCTGCACTCCACGTTTCATCAATGTGATCCACAATAATATGCCGTCGAGTAAAATTGCTCTTTATGGATTTGTGTAATTCTTCAGCCAGTTGTTGTTGCCAACTTATTTCTTTACTCAACAGCTTTTTCTGATTTTTGAAACACCTAAACCAAGCTATTGGTTTTTTGTTGATCATTTCTTGCCAACCAATGACCCTACTGACGTTCTTTATGGGGTACATCATCGAAAGCTTTCACCATTTTTCTATCTGCTTTATTCTTACCATTTCGTCATATAGTACAACTGCGTTAACTATGAAATTCTGAGTTGTGTTTGCTGAAAGTCTGTATCTGAAATTCAGCTGTTTGGAATCTCTTGTCACTTTTTTCTGCTTGGAAAGACAGATCAAATATATTAGTGGATGCAGAGAGTTGTAATTGCTTAAATTGAGCTGTGTACCAGTGTTGTTATCATTCTTCTGCATTCCATATGACATCAGATCATTAAAGATTCTGACTTTGAATCACTATCATTTTTAATCTCAGGATAAGACACCATTTCCATATTCCTGAGGATTTGAAGTTGGCTTTCATAAAACAAGGGTTTTGGCAGTAAAACCAAGACAGTTGTACTGCATAATATTTATTGATTTATTTATTGCCAACAAGCAGCCTGAGCAAAACTAGGAGGCTGCGAGGTAGCAGTATTAAAGAGCTGACGCACATGAATATAAATTAATGTAAAAAAATCGTAGTTACCTGTCAGTTTCATTATAAGGATCATAACGTCCATTAATCTGAAGCCAACTTAAAAAGACTTTGAAATATTTCTTCATTCTCTCGTGCAGTTCCCTCCACCATCTTTCAATCTTGGAAATAATTAATGGTGTATTTAATACATTTATCACTTACATCAGTTTGGGGTGAGTACATTTCCAAATTGTGAAATGTTTAGCACCTCTGGCACAATTTGGTATCACATTCCACATGTTTTAGAGTAAAAACTATTTATTGTATATTATCCCGGTGTAACTAATTGATCAAAATCAATCATTGGAGATAAATCAATATTAACCAATTAAATTTGCTAATTAATATCCATTAGTATCGATAAATCAATGAAAATTATCATCACAACAGGGAAAGGTATTAATTTTTATAAATGTCTGATAAAAATCAGTTAATTGAAATTGATTAAATTCAATTATAATCAATTAATCGATTTATTGATTAGTTACGCCCAGATGGTTTTGAAAGAAACAAGTGACATTCTACTATTACTTATTTTTGGTGCTGTTATCAAGTATACCCGATTCAAAGTTAACCATAAATAACTTAAAAAAATTTAATGCAGTATATAATTAATTCTCAAAAAGCGTAGTGTATACTGCTCAACGAGTATACGAAAATGATAGGAAATTTCAAAACACACTTATGTCCACTAAGAGTAAACTTTAGCACTCACAGTTCTCACCAAGGTTCATTTGTGTCACAATTTTAAATGCTAATGCTTTAAGTATTCTAATCGTTTCGCGGGTGGTGTTTTATTGTATATGATCGCAGTGTCAAGACTAAAGAGGTTATTATTCCCTCCATAGCCCATTTGAAACTGCCAAACGTACAGCTTGGTATTCGGTGGGATTTTCACCTTAAGGGTTTCTTCTTTTTCCTGAAGGCTGAGTGTCTAATTAAAAAAAACTTTTGAAACATTGACAATGAATGAATCTGTGCCTGTGTACAACCAAATCGTAAACCTAATATTATATACTTATCGTTCTTTTTACAACTCGTGGTGTAAGAGATGATAGATTCATCATATCAAGTGATTATCTAACATTCTGTTAAACAATAATTTACATTTGATCCTTTGATTTTCAGAATGCTTCTTCCCTGATGATTCCACTGGATAAGAAAGAATTAGATATTTCCAGGGAGACTGTTTGGAATACCCATAGAATAAGGGCACAGGAAGAGGCAGTTTTGCGAAATGGCATCCCAAATCATATATATAGCTTCCCAATGAGATATAACCTAGAAGAGTGTAGTAAGTGCAAATACTGCAGTAAATGTAGGCTTGTATATTTTATGTTTGTTTATATAATGCTGATTGGCTAAGAAGAACCACAAAGTTAAATCCTTTGTTCTTTAATGCAAATGAGAAAACCTGAAATGGCCAACTCTGCCATTGAATGGGAAAAAAGCACCAAAAGGGTTTAAGTTCAGCATAGATCACCTTTTTATTATAAGACAATGTTGGGCATCAGTGAAATTCAGGCTTTTTGTTCGGCCAATAATTTAAAACAGCTCAGGCCATCTGAGGTCCGCACAAGATAATGTCATAAACCAAGTTGGAATGCCAAACTGTTTCACTGTGGCTACAACTTCATACATAACCTTTTGCCAATAGGGTGGTGAGCCTGGAACATGTCTCAGAAATAGATAGGCCTGGTCTTGGAAAACGAGATTCTTTAACTTTTGTACGTTGGATCTTAAATCTGATGCTGTAAGGGACTGCCCATGAAGTTCTGAGAGAGCTATGTTGATGCTATCTGACACTATTTTCTGTTCTATAATGAACTGTGCAAAGAATGCAAACCTGCTACTATAGTATGAAAGACGTGCATTGAAATATTTTGAAGGTGATAAATTAACTGATATCTCTGCAGTGTAACGAAATCTGCCATTTGGAAATAATACTGGAAATGCCAGTTCTTCACAATGTTTGTCAGTCATGAATGAAACTGGATGTTTATTTTCACTCGCAATGTCGAAAATTTCATTCCCGCCTGACTAATTGGATGGCTAATTTGCTGTATATTTAGAGTTGCAGGATAATCTGGAAGAACAGACTGTAAACATGTTTCATTTGTGGGTGCCCTAAACTTATTCAAAGGATCATCTATTTCTTCCTCGTTGTCATCATCAGCTCCTTTGGTTCAGGGGTCATCCATTAATGAACACATTTCAGCATATTGTTCACTTGTTCATATTTGCACTGCGATGAAGAGATCCTCGCAGTTAAGAACACTACTAAAACGGGTAGTTGAAAATAGGACCTGAAAAAAATTCAGGCCCGTACAGGATTTGAACCCACCACCTCTGCGATACCGGTCGATACAGCTGTTGTTCAGTGAGATTTATGTCAATTTTTTCAATGTTGATTGTTATTCTGCCATAGAAAGGATTGTTATCCCTCAGCCAATTTTGAGCATTGAGTATATGATGTCAGGCTGCACAGCTTGAAAATAAATATGACCTCTAAAGGAAAGTTTTCTTTTCAGTTTTAGCATGATTATACCTGACCTTTCAGATGGTCTTGGCAAACATTGCATGTTTGATCACAATCTACAGGCACATTGCAAATAGCCAATTTAATCTTTCGTATTTGACCTTTGGGCATGATAACTATTTTTTGAAAGAGAAGCTGCTGAGCTATGAGAATTTGCGCAAGTTTTTCTAGACATTTAAGTTCTGAGGGAATTTCATCAACGAATAATCTGTTATGGACAGCTTGACACAGGATCTGTCTCTGGAGGAACATTTATTACAGATATATTCTTTATTGTCACGAGACTTTTTTCCTGTAAAAATATGTTGAATGATGTATTTGCCTTTCTTTAATTCTGTAACGGTTTTCCTATAAAGAAGTCTGTTGCATGCAGAACATATGTAACTTGGACCTTCTCTCACTTTTTTTAAAAATATGCCCTACAGGAATTCAAGTCATTGTGCATAATAGCATTTAACTGTCTTGCATTGCTTCTTTCTGTCCTCTTTCTTGCCAGAATTTTTTTTTTGTGCTTCCCATTTCTTGGTAAGCCTGTCTTCCTTTGCCCAACAAATTATCTTTTGTAGATATAGATATGGATTTATATTTTTCTGCACGACCACTGAGAATGTCTTGCTTTTCATTGTTATAATTGCGATGCAATGTATCCAAACGCGTGTTTTTTCTTTACAGGTTCTAATTCAGCATAGCACTTTTTCCTCTTTCTTGTAATTGATATTTTCTGTTTAGAATATTTCTGGCGTTTAAGAATCTTTTGTTTCTCTGTTCTAGTTCACAAGCATGAGCATGTGGTGTCTGGAAAGCTAAGACCTAAGACCTAAGACCTAAGGGTTTCCCTTTATGACAACCAATGGTCAGCACAAATGGATCACTAGTGTAAATTGCAACGAAGTGCTCGGCACCAAGAGCACATAGTTTAGTGAAAAGCTTTTCTCTTCCTTCATACTTAAATACTCCGTCTGCATAGGGGAGTTCTTCAGAGAATTCTATTGGATATTTAATAATCTGTTGTCGACGAAGAATTTCATATGCCTCTAGTATGTCGTAAGTCTTTCCCATGTCGCGGTGCTCGTTGATTTCCTCCGGTAAAGACAGAATGGTAACCTCCACAGCTTTCGGTAAATTTTCGAAAAAAGCCTCTGTTTCGGTGTCGTGTAAGATGCTTTCTGCAACTCCAACCGAGAGAAAAGCACACGCGTTTGTCCCTTCATTCGATGGTGATGTCACCGATTCTTTGAGCTTGAAACTTTCCTCCATCCCAGCAGCTACCCTTGCATCAAACTCTTCAAGGGCAGTTGCTTGGCTTGCCTTGAGGTTAACGACCTGCACATCCGTCGACCTTTCATGTCGCCTTCTTAAAGTCTGGCCTGCTTCTTGCAGGGACAACCTTTTGTTTCGGTCAAAGTTGGTGAAACCCCGGTAAACTTTCTCTAAATCGTACCAAACTGTAGCACGATCGATTTCGTATTTTTCATCTTGAGGTGGTTGGGAAACTTTCATGACTTTGACAACAATGCGATGATCAAGGCCATTTAATAGAGCCACTTCTTTCAAGAAAAGTTTGTTTTCCTCCGGATCCAGGACATTTCACATTTTTTTAATGACAACCGTCTCTGAAGTTATCGTTCCTGGCGCCTGGTAGTCGGTAGTGTAAACATCGTCAAATGACCCGTGGCCAATACGATCTTTAGGTAGCAGTTTGTTGCAGTCAAACTGTGCTATCCCGTCATTACGAGGGATCAGGCTTCCTTGTAAGAAGTCGAGGAAGACAAAACTTCCGAAAATTCGACATCGTTGAACGCGATTGAAAGGCTAGCCCATTTTGGTCAGTAGTAACCTACGATGCCCCGTTCTCTCCTCGCAGCGGGAGGGGTGAGAAAGAAAGAAAAGCTTCTTCACTCGTCTTTTAACATGGTAAAAAGTCCAGAATCTGGACTTTCTTCTGATTGGTCACGAAACAAAAGACAACATTAATCTAAATCCTGATAAGTTACCTGAATGGAAGTTTGACTTCCGGAACCGGAGCGATTTTTTGTTAGCTTTAAATGCATCGCTCGAGTGATTTCTTCATAAAACACTCAAGGATGAGCAAGAATTAGTCACTTATAAAAAAAAAATGTTCGTAGTACGAAATAGGTTGAAATCTTAGTTCTTGGCTGGCCGATTTTCAAACTTTCTTGACAATATCAAACCGTTAAAGCGTTACGCGTGATAGAAAGCAGCCGTGACGGAACTTCAGACGTCATATAACTTGGTGAAATAATTATTTCAACACCTATTATCTTAAGTGCTTCTGGGTTATATAACTTTTGACACATCTTTAGACTGAACGATTATCCCTGGTAGTTAATGCGTAGCTAAACACCTCTTATGATTATTGAAGTACCTAAACTTGTAAAACTTTGTCGATTTAAACAACGTTTCACTAGCTTGGATACAAGGTCTTAAAACGGACGCTGTATTTTCTGTATTTTCTGCAAAGCCTCAAATGAAGATCCCAATGATCTTTTGCTTAACTTTAACAATGTAAGGACCACTTGAGCAAATAGCAATAAACTGAATGAAATAATAAAAATATGCAATGCTAGGTTGCAAGCAATCCCTTATTATAAACACGAAGTAGTCGTAATCGTTTTCGTATAAATTCTGATTTATTCCACTCTGATATCGTACAGAAAGAACCCCTCGAGTTAAATCATACGCCCTTAATATACACACTAAATTTGATATCCTACAAAAAACAGTAAATCAAGTTGTTGTCATGTGCTCTCTTTGTACAAACAAAACGAAAAGCGTGACGACTTTGATTACATAACAAATACGCGTGACTGTTTTTGACACTCCCCCTAGTTGATCACCTTAGTGTGAGTCAACTATATTCGCTTTGAAAAATAAACTAAGACTATATTTGTTATCGCAAAGTTCGTTGTTTCTAAATGTTCGCGTTATTTACAAGTGTGAGGAAATAAATCTAAATACGGCAACGTTTAAGGTTCTCAGTTCAGTTCAAGAGTTCACCTCAAGAGGAACAACGTGTTGAATGGGTCGTCGCAAGCGCTGAATTGAACTACCATTGGTACTCGTAACTCTAACTGAAACTGCTCGCACCTTTCCATCTCGGCCCGGGTGCAATTCTTCTACTTTCGCAAGCTTCCAGAAGCTTCGACGAACGCTGTCATTTTTGAGAATAACAATGTCTCCAACCTTGACCCCCGTATCGCCATTGTCTCCCCTTAGCCGTGCGTTCTTGATAGCATGTTCTCTTAAGCTGGTTAAATATTCATTTCTCCATTGACGAGTGAATTGTCCCAACAGATGTCTATGATGTTTAAGTCGCTTCGTCAGAGAATCGTAGGTGCTAGTGATTTCGAAATGTTGACTGTTCGGAGTTGTAGTAACTCTTCGACCATAAATCAGATCCGATGGCGTTAAGGGATACGAGATCGATTCCTCGTCGTCATACACATAAGTCAGCGGCCTTGCGTTGATCAGCCCTTCTATTTCCGTTAACAGAGTACTTAGCTCCACGTGGGTGAGGGTAGCCTTTCCGATGGTTTTTTGGATAGGAGACTTTACGCTGCGAATGAGCCTTTCCCAGTAGCCTCCCCACCACGGCGCCTTTTCCACAATGAAATTCCAACTGATTTGATTGTTGGTTAAATATCGCCAAACTTCCGGTGACCGTACTAATTTGCGAATATCCTTGCTTGATGATTTGAAAGTTTTTGCATTGTCCGATTGAAGATTAGCCGGGAGTCCTCTTCTACTGGTGAATCTTCTGAAAGCAAGCAGGAAATCTTGGACACCGAGTCCACGAGTCAACTCTAAGTGCACTGCACGGGTTGAAGCGCATGTAAATAAACACACGTAAACTTTGACACATTCAGCGTTGTTGACGTTTTCCTTTACGTAAAATGGCCCAGCGAAGTCGATTCCAACATTAGTAAAAGGTGGATCGTCTGAGACTCGGTTGGTTGGAAGATCAGCGAACGGTGGAGGTTTGCATGGTGCTGCATCGAATCGTCGGCAGACAACGCAGTGTCGAATGATTTTCTTGACTGTCTCGCGACCGCGTAGAATCCAGAAACGTTCTCGTAAGTTCGTAAGCGTGTCCCTTATCCCAGAATGCTTGACTAAATCGTGAATATTCCTAATAGTGAGATTGGTGAAAGCGTGTTTGGCAGGCAAAAGTATCGGGGTTCTGGCAGAAGACGCTAGGGAAGCATTTGCGATCCGTCCTTTGCATCTGATAATTCCATCGTCGTCGAGAAACAGTCCCAACTGCGGAACACGTATAGGTGGCGTTGATTTCGAATCCTTTCGAGTCAGAAAAGAAAGTTCATCGGTAAAAGACGATGCTTGAACCGAGAGTATCCACAGATTCTCGGCGTCCTTCAATTCGGTGGTTGTTAAATCTTCCATTTCTTCTTTCCGGTTTTCAAGTGTTCGGTTTTTGAGCTTGTTGATGAACTTGATCACAAACGCGGTTACTCGAATTAATTTCGTCCTGTCGCTGAACCGTCCAATGTCGATTATCTGGTCAACTTTCGGGTTGAATTTGTCGCAGGCAGTGGTAATAAGGGAATGTGTTACATCTGGTACGCTCTTGACGGCTTCCTGTAAAATTTGTTCTTCGTTCACTTGTTCCGATGGAGAAGTTTCGGGCCATTCATTCTCGGATTGATACAAAAAACTCGGACCATTCCACCACGTATTGCTGGCAGAAAGTTCTTTCGCTGATAGTCCACGCGATGGTAGATCGGCAGGATTTAATTCTCCTGGACAGTGCCTCCATAAATCTTTGGGAGTTAGACGTCGAATTTCTTCTACTCTTTGACCGATGTACTGCTTCCATACTCTTTCATTTTTGATCCAGCATAGAGCAGTTGTAGAATCACTCCAGAGAACGGTTGTGTATTCAGCTCCAATCGACTTTAACTTGTTAACAAGTCGGGCCAAAATTAATGCTCCTAGTAATTCCAATCGAGGAATTGTCTGTGTCTTGATAGGAGCGACTCTCGATTTTGAAGCGACCAATTTAACTTCGATTCGACCATCACTGTACGTGTTTCGAATATAAACCACCGCGGCGTAGGCGCGTTCTGAAGCATCACTGAAGCCATGTATCTGAGAGGTTACAGGTTGTCGCGAAAAATAGCATCGAGGAATACGATAGCCGCCAATGAACTTCAGATCTTGGAGAAACGATTTCCATCGGTGAAGCAAAGTTCCTTGTAATTCTTCGTCCCAGTTTGTTTTGTTGATACAAAGTTCTTGAAACAAGATCTTCATCTCTATTGTTAGAGGCGTCAAAAGTCCCATGGGGTCGAAGATCTTGGCCGTAACCTTGAGAACAGATCGCTTGGTGAGGGGAAGTGCTTGTGCAAATGGGCACAGATCGGAGAAGTTGAAGAAAATTTCGTCTGTGAGAGTGTTCCAGTTCATTCCTAGAATTTTAACTACTGCATCTTCGTTGTCAGAAGTCGTTGAGTCACAACCAACACTCGATTTCGCGAATGATTCGTCATCTTCTTTGTTGACATTAGTGACCTCCTGTTGTGTGTTTGCTGATCCTGGTGAACTTTCAAGTTTCGTAATTTGCATTTGTAGTTTTCGCGAGTTCGATCGCCATTTTCTGAGATTGAATCCTCCACTGGACATAACCTTCTTGCATCTCTTGTAAACAGAGAGATCTCTTTCTTCGTCTGACTCCCCCGTTAACAGGTCGTCCACGTACAGAGATTGTTCCAATAATTCAGCGATTTTGGGGTCACTTTGTTTGTGTAGTTGTAAGTGATGTAGAATTGTCGCTCCCAAAATAGCAGGCGAGGGGCGTAACCCAAACACGAGCCGTGTGAACCTGTATTGTACAATTTCAGGCTTAACGCAATCTGGGTTTCTTAACCATAAGAATCGAAGAAAGTCTCGATGATCCTCTTGGATTCCCACCATAAGGAAGGCCTTTTCAATGTCAGCTGTGATACCGACAGGATTCTTCCGAAAGCGCGCTAGCATATTGAAAACATGTGGGATGTGATTTGGCCCAGTTTCAAGGCAATCGTTGAGTGACTTCTCTTGGTTACCAGATTTTGCTGACCCATCGTACACAATTCGTACCTTCGTAGTCTCACGATCCTTTCTTACTACTGCATGATGAGGCAAATAATGATGTTGCGCAGCAATTTTCTCTTTATTCGATACTTGCTCGATTATCCCCTTTGATAACTGGTCTTGAATGATGTTGTCGTATTCGGCTAATAACTCTGGGTCTTTGCGCAGCTTGTGATGTAAGGATCTTAATCGCGATTCGCACAACAGATAGTTGTTGGAGGATAGCGGCAAACAATTTTCTTTCCACGGTAAATTGACTTCGTATCGGTCTTCGCTCCATGCAACGTCGATTTTGAAAGATTCCTTCGTTTCCTGTTGAGTCAGATCCTTAATGCCAATTGCCTCAGTCTCCCAAAAGTTCTTCAGAGTGTTCGTGAGAACGTCGTCTTCGTTTCGGGCAAATAGGTCGTCATGGCCTTCGATTATTAAATTTGAATGCGTAACATAACTCCGATCGAGTGTTCCTTTAACTGGTCCAGACAGCAGCCACCCGAGTTTGCTATTTACAGCAATGGGACCTTCGTCTCCTCGTCTTGTCTCCCCCGTTACAAAATGCCAGTAATAATCGCAGCCGATCAGAATATCAATCGAACCTTCGGCGTCAAACGGTTCATCCGCTAGCTCCAATCCATCCAAATGCGGGTAGTTTACAGAGACCTTGCCAGGTAAAGGCGAACAAATAACCGGAAATGTCAGAGCAGAAATTTTAATGGCATCTTCGCATCCAGACCTTCGTACTTGTAATTTCACAACATCGCAATTCTGCTTCTTGTACTTTGCTTCTCCAAATGTGTTCAAGTTGAGTCGTTCAGTTTGAAGTGATTTCAGATGAAGTGTTGCTCGTAAATTCTCAGTGATGTACGAGCGCTGACTTCCACTGTCGAAAAGTAATCTCACCACGGTCGATCTAGTCCCATCTTCGTTTGTCGCTACAGCCTTAGCTGTTTGAAGTAACACTCTGCAATTCGGTTTTGAACTCTCGCGATTTGTCGTAGTTGCTGTTGTGATGCCAGTATTCTCTCTTTCGTTGATCGTCTGGTCCCTAGGTCTTTCTTGTGTAGATCGGTCGGAATTGAGGGGACGTTCTGTATTCTGCGCGTTGTTATTGTTGTTGTTGGAGGAGTTCGCGTTTCGTGGACAAATCGATTGATGGTGTCTCTTGTCGCATCTTCTGCAAGTTTTCTGGCATTGATCCTGTTGATGTCCCTTTCGAAGGCACATGAAACATCTTTTGTCCCGAGCAAGGATGGTTCTGCGAGCGTTTAATTCGGTGACCGTTTCGCACGAAGCTGAGAAATGTTTCCCAGAACAGTAAACACAAGTCGGCGCAAACTGTTGGGTTTGTGAATCAGCAAGATAGGCACCAGAAGTACCGGGTGGAATAGTGGGTGGCAAAACCTTCGATTTATCAGGAACAAAATGTGGAGGAGGCTGTCGTTTTGATTCTAAAGGTGGGACGGTTTTAACTCTTTCGCTCATTTCTCTCGCTTCGATTTCGCGTTGTAATAGGTCGAGCAGCGGTTCAATTTCCCAGACATCTTGACTAGTGTTGCGAGCGACGTGAATTCGTATATCGGGAGGAAGTTTCGACATAATTACCGGAATAAGAAGACTTCCATATTGTGCAGATTTGATGCCCAGGGCTTCTAAGCCTCTTACGTTTACGCTGATTTTGTCATACAAATAACGGAGTTGAGAAGGCCTTTCTGAAGAACATACGGAGATTTCAAAAGTTCGTCCATGTGGGAAGCGATGATTTGTTGTGGTTTTCCGAATCGTGTCATCAAAATGTCCACAGCCGCTTGGTAGTTGTCTTCGGTAATCGGTAACCCTGCAATGGCGCGTGACGCGGCTCCCTCGAGTTGAGCTACTAGATAATTGAACTTTGCGATTTTCGATAAATTCGGGTTCGAATGGACGGCACTTTCGAATGTATCCCAGAACGGCTTGAACTGAGTCACTTCGCCTCTAAATTTCGGTAGGGTGAGCTTTGGTAGTTTAGATGTCGCTGCATTTGTTGTAGGAGGTGTACCACTATGTTGGGAAGTTTGATTCGGCGAAGGAGGAGCTGAAGAAGCTGGAGGAGATCCCGTTGTTTGTATGGCTTGAGTCGAAGGAGGCGTCGATAGTGAACCGGTCGGAATAGAAGGGTTGTTTTCTGTAAATTGTGCCGCGGATCCACCGGTTGTCGTGTAAGTTGTACTCGTAATTGAGGGCGTTGTCGTGAGGGAAATATTCGCAAGAGCGTCCATTACTCGCATTTTCAATGTTTCGGCTTCGTCAATTTCCTTTTCGATTTCCTCCACTTTACAGACGGATACGATTTTTTCGTCTAGATCTGAGACCAGTTTCGATTTTTCCTTTAACATTTCTTCGATTCTCGTTAACTTGTTTTTTGTTTTGATATCCAATTCGGAGGTCGCATTTTCCAAGATTGTATCGGCTTCGCCGATGAGCTTCGTTATGACTCCTCTGTTGGCCCCGCGAGTTGCTCTTAGTCGTGGTAGATCTCCTTCTGACATCTTTTCTTCAGGTCGTGATTTCGAGCCCCACGTTGGGCGCCATATTATAAACACGAAGTAGTCGTAATCGTTTTCGTATAAATTCTGATTTATTCCACTCTGATATCGTACAGAAAGAACCCCTCGAGTTAAATCATACGCCCTTAATTTACACACTAAATTTGATATCCTACAAAAAACAGTAAATCAAGTTGTTGTCATGTGCTCTCTTTGTACAAACAAAACGAAAAGCGTGACGACTTTGATTACATAACAAATACGCGTGACTGTTTTTGACATCCCTTTCTTTTTTTATACGTGCGACGCATCTCAGGAACAAAAACTCACTGCGCACATTTTAATGTCGAACAGAAAAATCACCTTTTTGATTCGCATAGCATTTTAACTTAAAAAAAAGCGTTTGAACGTGTTTTCATCGAAATATAACAAGATATGTTTGAACCAACTTAGTTGGAGGCATTATGCTTCCTTTTCCTTGATCTCAACTGCATTCGCAACTGAGGACTTGCAGGGCAGTATTCGGGTTCCTTGGGTGCGTTACCACCTTGCTCATTACCACGTTCGTCATCGTTCTTGTCAGCATTCTTATTATCACCCGCGTTTTGGTTGTTCTCGTGGATGTCATCAAAGTTCAAAATAGCCCGGGCTGTGGACATCTCAGAGGGTAATTCAGAAGCGAGTTCATTTCTGCAGCTTGGGCATGGCGCCCCGCACCGATGACACTCGGGGATGTTATCGAACCATGGTATGGTTAACGGCTCGTTTTCGGAGTAAGCTGCATTGCTCCCAGGAAGACGGGGATCCTTTCTCCGCCACTGATCCTGACACCATTCGACCAGTTTGGTTGTTGCTATTTGTCCAACTTACCAATTTCCAGTCGCCGATTTTACTTCTTCACCAAGCAGCTGTGATTGCAAATGATCGAAGGCACGTACCTCTAACAGTTTACATAAAAAATTAGCCACGACCTCGTGCATTTTTCATGTGAACTTTATGTGCGTGTTACGGGGTGATTCCCTTCCTGAAATTGCCTTGTAGCCGCTCATCAAAATAAATTGCCACAAAGCAATATCGTACAGAGGACGCAGGAATGACAGTGGGTTAGAGGAAGGCATCTCTAATCGTATATTAACAACTGGCCACTGACAATCATTGACATTTATACAGATTCTCTGACCCAGGCAAAAACTTGTGGCCTCGTGATTTATTTCCTATTTCCGGCCTTTTCATTGACTTCCATATTTGGATGGAGACAATCAATGATGGTAACAAAGCACCCCTATTCCCGCACCAATCAGAAAACGAGCTCTTTGAGGTGCGAATATTGAAAATCGACAACGATGGAAAATAACATCTCCTCGTCGAAATTCACATGGCGTCGTGTGCTACATCTTCGTCTGGGACAACAGGTTCGAAAAAGCGCCTTCCAGAAGAGCTGACAGAATTGCTAGATGTGGCAATTTATACCTTTGCCTATCAGGCAGGATTGAGAGCGGGGCATAAGGTTAGAGGAAACCCGGTGTTAGAAGGCGTGAGCGCATTCTTTGGCCAGCTGATCGAAACCGCAAACGAGGATACGAAGAAGCAGCTGAAGGACATCTCCCCTGGAAGATTGGGAGGATGGCAACCGGGCGAGGCGCCATCGCCTCAACTCTTAACGTTGGTGTCCTCGCGGATAAAGCTAATGAAATCGAAACAATTAATAAGGGAAGACGATAACCCGGTGGTACCGTCCCTGTTGGTGGATAGGCTAGAGTGGTTTGAGGAGGAGGAGGAAAGGGTCAGGACGAAAACGTTGGCCAGATGTTGGCGTTGCCAAAGTAGATGCAGATTTTGTTCGCGGAGGAGGCACGATTTCCCAAAATTTGGGCACTTTAGACCTGAGTAAGTTGCTTATTCATACAGCATACAGTATTAGGCTTATGATTTGTAATGAAGGCCATGTTACATACATACATGCATACGTACGTACGTACGTACGTACGTACATACATACATACATAAAAGTGCTCACTTACGAGGACCATTTATGTATGCCTGCATTCTGGGGACACCCATCCCCCGTCACTTAGGAAAATAAGGATATGTGCATTTCAAAGTACTCCTCGCGAACGTTTATCCGGACACATGACATCTTTAAAAATTTCAATCCTTCCCTGTGGGGACAAATACCCATTGTGCTTTTGGGGACATTTTCAAATCTCAGTTTTAACATCAGCATTGTGTGGACCCATATATATTTTTATTTTAAAAGATGAGATTGACCACCAGCAAGGTTTGGGCCTTTCATCTACCCTCGCAGACAGGATATTTTGGGCCACGATTTTTCAAGGATATTGTTGCTGCTGTTTGTTTGTTAACTGAACCATATTTGCTTACGATACAATCGTAACAATAAGAATAGACCGGTGCGCACATGGCCAGTGTCCGCACAGGCGGCCCAAGTTCACGTCTCGAGAAAAAGCCAACGATGAATTCATGAACGCGTCACGTGTTGTGTGACTCGGTGTTAAGTTACGGGGGGAACCGTTGAAAATTTGAACACGTTGTAAGGAATAGTATGGGGAACGAAATATGGTCGATTTTTTACGACAAATATTTCGAAATATGAATATTTTACACGTAAAATCAATAAAAACTTACTCATGCCCTGTGTATCCGTCGTAGTTTCTGGCGATTTCTGCCGTTTTAAGCTTGCTTTACCATCACTGTTATTCATGTTAAAAGACGAAGTCAAGGCTGCACACTCCGATTTCGACCTTGGTCCACGCGGAGGTGGTTTGTGCCCCGAAAATCCTCCCGATCGGCATTTTTCTCAGCCACACTTTACGATCTAGGATCGCTGCACCCTGGGACATGTCTCAATACCAAAACTTCACGCGCATTTCGCTGGAAACAAGTGTTTTCTACCTGAATTTCCAAGTTCGCTTCTTTCTGGTTATGCTTTGAACACGCAGACTGGACACGGCCGCGAAAGAGACTTGGGTACGAGGTCAATTTTGTCTCTACCGCGAGTGGTACGGTCGATTAATGTACAATACTTACCCCATCCCCACAAAGACACCTCGCCTTAACCTATTGTCCTAATCAACCAATCAGACAGCGAGTCGAAAGTAAAACAGATAAACAACGTACAAAATTTGAATATTCTGCGGGGTTTTCTGTGAGCATCTAAGCTTCGATTATTTTCGCGAAAATGCTATCGAAGAGGAAGAGATGCGGTGAAATTGACGGCGAAGCGAATCAGAAGAGAGTAAAGAGTGGCAAAGTTTCAAGTTTGCACTATTGGAAATTTTGGTGAGTCGAAATCCGAACGCTTTCTTTGGTATACAAATTGAATGTCCGCATGTGTAGTTTATTTCAGTATCCATTCAATTCAGTTTAAAATATATAATTTTTCTTCGTTGCAGGTTCATTTCAAATTATGAGTATGCTGAAGGTAGCCTTACCTTTGCAAGGGACGTGATCAGCCACAGTGTGGCTGACAAAGAGAATAGCGAATCGTTAACTTCGTTTTCGAAAATTACGTTAGGCGAAATCAGATCTCTGGGGTGAAAGAGTCAAGCACGTGAAACGTGGACCACGAAGCGATCGCAAGGCTGCGTACTTAAATATTAGAAGGTCCGAAGGTGGAATCAGAAAATCGTTGTGTTTCACTCTGGAAGAAATTTCAATTCCCCAAACCTGGACAAGGGAATGTGTCGCCCCAGGACATTATATTTTTTCTAGACGTGAAAAAATGGACTTCAATTCTCAGCGTCTGACCCTGGAATTGTCGGTGAAGTTTTCTCAATCTTTTCAGGCAAGCTACACCATTAGATCCCATGGTTCTGTTGTTGATTTAGAGTCTGTTTTGAGAAATTCTGGCAGCACAACTCCAGCATTTCCTGGGCAAATCCCCTGCCTATTGCAATGGTTGGAAAACCTACCCATCTGCCTTGGATTTGTTCTGGAAAAGGATGAAGCAGTTGTTACCCTATCCCCATACACAACAGGCCAGCTTCAGGACCTTGCAGATTGTTCCAAGGAGCCATAAACGAGAGTATTTTCTTACCTTTGTCTAGTAGTCTGCAAGTCTGGGGCCACTAGTCAATGCCTTAATTGTCGCTCGCTCTTTAGTCTCAACAGACGGCGTCAAAAACTAATTTCTAACAGGCAGGTCATTCATCCCAAATGCAACAAACGGTTCCTGTCTAGAGAGGAATTGGTGGAGCAAGTCGCTCAGGAACAAGCGAGAAGAAAACATGCAGAGGAGAGGGAGAGATATTGGCGCAGCAAATATGACAGCAAAGCCTTGGTGGTTGATGAAGAGGATAATGCAGACCTCGATTCAATGTTCTGGGCCACAAAAAAAGAAAATATTCCCAAAGAAATGGAATTCCTCTGGGAACAACAGAAAAAAAATATTCAGACTGCTGGCAAGAATGGTCACAGGTGGCATCCTAAGTAAGTTCCCTCACCTCTTTACTTTTGATGCATCCTCAAAGGGTGAGGAATAATTTAAAGTTACATGGACCTATGCTTCAAGTTATCAACAATCCAAAGGGAATAAGAAACCCAAAACTGTCCCTTGAAGCAGGAATTAAAGCAACAAAAAAAAAAAAAAGAAGGGGATACTGATTAACATCCAATGTTTACCTTTTTTAACATCTAAAGTTGCTTTACCAAAAAATGAAAGATCATTGATAGTGATATAAAGTAATATTATTCAATGTTTTTTCTTTTCATTGAAATTCTTTTTGGCTTTATTATAGGATTATCCGCTTATATATAGATTTATATACCAAGAACCCACATGTTCTTGACCCATTAAGGCAGTTCATCAAGTTGCCAAGTAACAAGACAATCAGGCAAGTGTCTATGTCTAGGTTTCGTTAAAAAAAAAATTTACATCTGAAAACCAAGTCTAACACATTTTTCCATGTTTTCATTATAAGGATGTATAAAAACAGAGTCCAACAACAAGATGGGTGGAATGCTGAGATATTGGAATGGTGCTTGATGGAGGCAAAAGCAAGAAACCTCAAAGAGGAAGACTACTGGGGAGGATTTGTAATCGATGAGATGAAAATTCAGGTGCATTATTAGGCTGATAGATTTTTGAAAATGCTCTGTTTTATAGAAGGTAAATCTAAAAACAAAACAGTTGTGATGATTTTTCGATTATACCTTGGGAAAAATGCACTCTGAATTGTAAGATTCATAAACCCATTTTGTTGTTGTGCTAGTTATAAGTTCTAACATACATTTCTATATAAATTTTCAGGAAAATCTTGAAATGGTAATGAGAAACGGAAAACACAAACTTGTTGGGTTTGTGGAATTGGGAGAAGCTCATGATCACATGGAGAAAATACTAGGTGAGATTTGTATACTGATATGACCACAAAATCTTTTTAGCATTACCCAAGTAAACAAATATCTTTTTGTCCTAACTTTGCAACTGCAGAGTGTAAAATGTACCTGTTAACCTTACAGGTAATGCCAAGCCCTCACTCGCCACACATGTGATGCAGTTCATTTTCCTGAGTGATTGTGGATTTCGATTCCCAATTGCTCAATTTCCCTCAGGGCACTGCTCCCCGACAGACCTCTATTTACAGTTTTGGAAGGGAGTACAGAAGATGACAGAAACAGGATTCAGGTAATTAACTATTTGTACAATATGCCCTTTCCTAAGTTAATGACCACCAGCTAATTGAGCAGATGTGAGGAAAGAAAAATTATATGGCAAGCTTTACTATTGCTAATATGTATTACTTTGACATGGATACCCAAAGAATTTTCCTCTAAAATGTTTCATAAAAGTAGTGGATTGTATTGATAAATAGTAGTGTATCTAAATTTCCAACTTAAAACCTATTCTACTAGAGCCTACTTAACTTTCGTCAACAAGTACAAGTTGAGTAAAAAAAAGATAATAATAATAATAGATGTCAGCAGATGTCTAGCAGGCATAACAATTCATACCATTTGAAGTGTATTTCATAATGAAGATCACACATGTAGTGCAGTTTGTGAATTGGCTACAACTGATGCAGCATTCACAACCTAAAAAAGGAATACAGAAGCATAATATAAGACTCAGTAAAAATAAAAATAGATAAAATGCAACTGATTAACTTCAAAGTCTTCTTTTAATAGTATATACTGGTGTATCCTTGATGGTGCTGATTGCAATCGCCAGTTTATCAAACTGCATTTTGAGGAAGACCCTGCAGCCAGCAACTTTGCCACAAGAAATCTACACACAGGAGATCCTATGGTGTTTATCATGGATTGCAAGGTAAAATGCTACTATTCACTTGCCAATAACTTACATAAATCCATAAATTTACCCAATTGGGTGTCTCCTCTGTGATTGATCTTAAGTTTGTAAATGTACATGTACTTTTCCCTGTCTGATGTTATGCCATTCAACCACTACTTAAAGATAAATTTCTTGAATTTTATAGCATAATTTCAAGAAAATTCGCAACAACATCGAGAAAAGCAACCAATCAAAGAAACCAAGGTGCTTGAAGATTGGAGGCAAAAGTATAGTCTGGAGGCAGTGGAAAGATGCTTTCCATTGGGATCAGTCCCGTTTTTCCCTTCCACTGCACGAAAGGCTTACACTCAGCCACATTGAGTTGGATCCTGCTTCAAGGATGAGAAATCACTTGGCAGAAGATGTTCTTGACAAAAAAATGCTTTTCATGATGCAGGTTAGCATTACAAAGATAAACGATGGTTTCCTACAAGTAAACTATTTACTGGTCAAATGCTTGTTTTTTTCATTCCCCATTTCCTGAAACAAGGCCACAGTCAAAATACTGGTAATAAATCCTAACCAATTTTCAGCCACATATCTTATTTCCTCGCATTCTTAATAATTCTTAGTAATTTAAGTTGCGGAAATTCATTGTCCTTTTTTTTTTTTTTTTAGAGTTATCGAGATCACATTATAGCCTCCATAGAAGGCCAAGAGCTCGACAATGGAACCCCCATTGACTCTGCACTTCGGCTCCTGCAGCACACTGCAGAAATAGTTGACTTGTTCAACTCGAAATGTCCACTAAGAAACATCAGGGACATCAGGCTGAAAAAGTTGAACAGTTTTTATTCTTTTATGTTGGATTGGAGAGAGAAGAGCTCAGATGACAATTCATCCTTTATCTCTAGTAAATTGTGGTTCGATATACAATCAATGTGCCTTGGCTTCCATGCCCTGGTAAAAGTAAAACTCCAGTATTTCCCACATTCATGCATTAGGCCAGCCATTGTCAATCAGGATTGTGTAGAAAACCACTTTTGTCAAGTAAGATCTTGCAATGGTCATAACAATAATCCAAAATACAATCAGCAACAATCAACACAGAATTCAATTCGATTTGGACAAACAGTTATCAGCAGAAAAAGCAATGTTGGAGTACACTCAATAACTGACTCTGCTTGTTGCTTGTACATACCCCAAAAATCTTCGTAATTTAGTAATTTAATGAACAGTAATTGAATGAATAATTTACACTGCTTGTTTGGTTTTGCAAATGAATGTCTTGTGGCCAGTTAATGTGTCCTCATGTTTTGGTAGTCACTTTCATTGCTTGTAGTAAGGTAGATGCACTTGTATTTATTTATATTTATAATAACTTCATTTGCCTAAATAATTAGTATTAGAGAGGCATTGATCAGTTTGTTTGCGATTTCACGAATTTCATCTTAAAATAACTTATTTTTCTTTGTTAATACCTAATAACTTAATTTAGAAGAGTATTAGTTCCAGTACTTTCAAATTTGATGTGAAAAGCTAGCTTAATGGAGCAAAACTTCATATATTTGGCAATGACACATGTCCTTTTTGAAATAAACTCTTCTGTTTTAAAATTATCCACGCTTAAATAAACATGCAGATAATAACTGTGCTCAACAATGACTAGAAAAACTCTGAAACAACACTACTCACCTTTTTAAGAATATATTTTCCACTACTACACTAGACAGTTGGTTCCTCTGTGAAAAAAAAATTGTGGAATGGGAGTTATTACTTGATTATACTGTACTGCATGGATCCCCTTGATCTGTTTTCAGGAAATATTTCATGTTATCAATCATCACATTATCTCCAGCCACATTTGTTAAAAATTTTTCGGAGTGCACCACTGCACACCTCTTGAAACCTATGCCCTTTGGGCATTCAAGCAAGCACCAGCTACTTTCAAATGTACACACATTATTCTCCTTGCTGAGCTCAAGTTTTAAGCAGAGGAAATGACTGATAAGAAAAAGACAAGATTTTCTATAAACCGAGTATGTGTACCTGATATTTGGGAACACTGTCTGGACACTGAAGATAACCTCAAACAAACTCTTCCCGTTGCTGCATCCATTTCGCTACTTACAACAGTGTACTGTCGGGAGTCTACTGCAGAGGGGACTAACATGCCTCTTCTGGAAGCAATGGCTAGCGCCAGCCTTTGGCCGATGGTAGTCTTGTTCAGTCGGCTAACATGGGGAACTCCATATGCTTCACAAAGCTGGATTAACTGGAGCCTCGTAAAAGTGGCAGTCAGACCATTGTGATTATGTTTTTCTGCAAATCCAATAAGTCTACCATTGGAAATAGCTTTTGCAGGAGAAGGGTCCCTTTGTATATCCTGCAATATGAGTATATGTTGGAACTAGGTAGCATATTCGACAGTATCCCTGTGAAGTGTCAGTACTTGTTCTTATCTCTGTGAACCTTAGGAATACAGTATATGGAAAACACGGAGAGAGATTTGCTAACCTTGGATAACTGTATGTCATTACGAGTAAATCATGATTAAAATTACAAATATTTCTGTTGGAACAGTGCTTCATGTATTAAAATTTGAGCTTTCTAATGATTTCCTTCAAGGTTTATCGGAGTTTTTAAATGCTCACGTAGCATTCACTTAAAAGCAATAAATAATCAAATTTCACACACGAGGCCAGATAATTGCCCCATTTTTGTCCCTTATTCAACTTAATTACCAGCAAGAACGAAGCAGTTGTGATGAATCACTTTCTTTCGATCCAACAGATCAATGTTCTCCAAAACAGAACTAACATTGCCCACAGAATCCGACACGTACAGAATCACCACCTGCGAAATCTTAAAGAGAGAGCGTATCCGCTGTTTATTCGCAGGCGCAAGTGGCATGGTACTTTGCCAACTGCGAGTATTTATGCATTATTTACCTGAAATGGAATTCTGTCATTTTTCTGGGAGTGCCTCTTGTTTCGCTCCATCACTCTTTTTCTCAGCTCTGCAGTTTTTTGAAGGCGTCGTGCCATTCTGTAGTCGCGGAGATATTGGCACCCGCCCATTTTGACGTAACGCTGAATGACTTTTTTTCTTATGTTTTCGACAATTTCCTGAAAATCAAATGGGAAAAGTGTTCCAGATGCTATTACCAAGGATCTTAAAGCAGGTTTCGTATTTAAGTTTCAAATGTGGCCTATAATCTTAACTCCTAAATCAATACGAGCTTTGAGGAATGATAGAACCGTTAGAAAAAGTATTATTTCATGTCATAGCTACCTTTCTTTTACAAGCATCATCTGAGGGGAAACAAGTTATCCAGAGGTTTTCTAATTCCTTTTTATTCACCATTTCTTCGTAGGAATTCGTTATAAGATGTTCTTTGAATTGTTGAAGTTTCTTGGAATTCATCAAATCCACGCGAAGCTGTTCCATGCGCATGAAAAACATGTAACACTCATCAGAAATATGGACAAGTCCTCTTTCTCTAAACTGTCGAGCTTCTTTGACCGCTAATGTTTCCAGATGCTTTGATTTTTCCTTGAGTTCTTCATAGGGCACGAGAAGAACTTCCTCGATTAGGTCACAGCTTGAAACGTGTTCTTGAACTTTGCTTAGTGTTCGTGCATCTTTGGTGTGCATGTTATCTCTGGCATACCGCCTTTCAGCTTCAAGGGTCATCCTGATTGCCCACCCACCAACATGCCTGATTTTGGCCTTTCCCGGATCGGTCATTTCAGAAACATCTAATCTGACCGGCTCTTGCCTTTCTTCATCGATAGAGTGGGAAATGACGTTTACCAACTGGCCAAGGAACTTTTCAAACAACGACGTTCCGATCTCTGTGGCAGTGGTCCTTTCTGGGCGGCTAACATGTGTGCTGTTAAAAAGACCTCTGACATATTCATGGAAGAGAGGTGAAATGAGGAACTTGTGAAGTTTAGTAGTGCAGCCCGTGAAACCTGCGCGTGAGATGTTTACAATGACCTCATCAGGGTTTTCGATAATGTGTTCTTTAAAAATTTCATGGAAATGAAACCATAAAAGATTGACAAAAGCTGCTGTCTTGTCTCGAAAATCTTCTTCCAACAACTTGATACAACTGTTTTTGTCCCCTGCAAACTCATTCAACGGCTTTGTAATTTTCATTGACGCAAGAATTTTTTTAATGTCAACAGAGGATGGAGGGCTCCAGAGTTCCGAATTGGGCTTCAGCAATGCGTCATAAACCTGGACAATGTCCGTTACGGGTGCATCATCGTCTCTCGAAATAAGAAGCAACAGGCCCATCGCTAAGTTCCTCTGGAAAAGTGCACGTCTCATCGCAATCATTTTCCTCTAGGGAAAATCTGTCGTGAACTTCAAATAACTCTTGTGATAGATCTTGATTAAGACAACATTTTAGATCTTCTTCTAGCTGACCGAGGTCAGTTGAACATTCACGTAAAACTCGAGAGCTAGGCGGGAGCAAGCTTTTTGATTTGAAGTTTAAAACTTGGAGATTCTGTGGATCCTTTACTCGTGATAGTGCCACGTATGTTAGTCCTGGTACAAATTCCTTGGAGCAGTGGACGACGGCTGCAGATAGAGTCAACCCCTGCGACTTGTGACAAGTCACAGCGTAAGCCAACACAATCGGAAACTGGCAAATACTGCCTAATACATTTCCTTGCTTGTTCCTTTGAAACCACGTTTGCCTTTCGATCGTAATAGAACCAACGCCCGAAAATGAAACTTGCAGCCTATCTCCATCACACTCCTCAAAGATTCCTCGACTACCGTTTCTTAATTTTTCGTTTAAATTCCACACTAGCATAACCGGACAGCCGGGCCTTAGGTGCAACACTGAAGAACCCGGCCAGTCCATGCCTTGAGTTTGATCGGTGTGCTCAGCCTCGAAGGTGTACTCAGGGAAAGGGAGATCCTGTAAGGCCAGGCGATTATGTAATGCTACCGGTAACCTTTTGAAATAGATGTGGCTCATCTCGTCTTTTGATATCTCGAGGGATCTTGAAAGGGAGTTGATATATTCAAAGGTCTTCTCGCTACACTGACCAATCCTGATTTCTTTCAGTGCATCGAGAAACTCTTTGTTTTCTTGTCGAAGAACAGTAGTCAGTTCGTAGCGGTGCGTTATGGCACTTTGATAGATCGGCGAATGGAACATGAACATACCTTCATCATAAACATTCGGAACTGGGCGTAATTGGAGGAACTCTCCAACTAAAATGACTTGCCTCGCTCAGACGATGGTGTATCGCATTGACCAATTCGAGCATTCGCTGGCTTGACAAGCTGGCTTCGTCCCAAATCAATACATCTGCCTTTTTGACACGTTCAATGACAGCGCGATTTTTTGTGGATCGTTCTACCAGCTGTTCCCATGATAGGTCTGCAATTCCTAATCCATAATAGGAATGCACAGTAGAAGCGACACCAGGATCGTACACTGTGCATGCTATACCACTGGAACATACCACAGAAACCTTTTTTCCAGCCGCTTGAAGATTGCTTATGATTTCCCTTACAACAGTAGACTTACCAGTTCCCCCTTGGCCAGTCACCAAAAAGTTATGACCCTTACAAGCCAAGCGTACTACCTCCGCCTGTCCGTGCGATAAGCGAACGCTCATATTGACGAAATGCCAGTAACCACCAAACTACTCTACTGAATATTACAAAGAACGAGTTTTCACAGGAAGGAAAATTATGAACACTAACACAATGAACTTCATTTGACAATCTGCGTGCTCACAATAGGCTGAGCTAATCGAAATTTTATTGTCCTTTACAATGGATTTCCGGTGACTAAATAGACATTTACTCCAGCATAAATTAGGAGGGTAGATCATGAGTAATTCGGTCGAATCTTGAGGGTTTTTTCATTTTTCCAGAAGTCTTGTGACATCAACTGGCAAAACATTGTAGTTTGATAGGCCATGCATGGAAGGGTAGATGCAATCGACGTTAGGACATCATGTGGACAATGGTATTTACATTGCGGTATGTAAGACTTCACACACAACGTTCGCTTTAATTACAGTCAATTTCAGGTGGCGAAATATTTCACCTCTCCATGAATTTCACAAGAAATCTACGTGTAGGAAAAAATAATATTCGTATCGGATTCCGACGTCAAACTTGCGAAAAGTTATGATACCTAAATATTTATCCTAGGTTCGCACTAGGAAATTTGTTCTCTATTAATATAAGCTTTTCACCCGTAATTTTAAAAGGAATACTCCCAAAATGAAATCTTAGGATTTTCATCTTGAAACTTTGCCATTGTTAACTTTCTGATTCGCTTCGCCGTTAATTTCACCGCATCTCTTCCTCTTCGATAGCATTTTCGCGAAAATAATCGAAGCTTAGATGCTCACAGAAAACCCCGCAGAATATTCAAATTTTGTACGTTGTTTATCTGTTTTACTTTCGACTCGCTGTCTGATTGGTTGATTAAGACAATAGGTTAAGGCGAGGTGCCTCTGTGGGGATGGGGTAAGTATTGTACATTAATCGACCGTACCACTCGCGGTAGAGAGAAAATTGACCTCGTACCCAAGTCTCTTTCGCGGTCGTGTCCAGTCTGCGTGTTCAAAGCATAACCAGAAAGAAGCGAACTTGGAAATTCAGGAAGAAAACACTCGTTTCCAGCGAAATGCGCGTGAAGTTTTGGTATTGAGACATGTCCCAGGGTGCAGCGATCTTAGATCGTAAAGTGTGGCTGAGAAAAATGCCGATCGGGAGGATTTTCGGGGCGCAAACCACCTCCGCGTGGACCAAGGTCGAAATCGGAGTGTGCAGCCTTGACTTCGTCTTTTGACATGGATAACAGTGATGGTAAAGCAAGCTTAAAAAGGCAGAAATCGCCAGAAACTACGAAGGATACACAGGGCATGAGTAAGTTTTTATTGATTTTACATGTAAAATATTCATATTTCGAAATATTTATCGTAAAAAATCGACCATATTTCGTTCCCCATACTATTCCTTATAACGTGTTCAAATTTTCAACGGTTCCTCCCGTAACTTAACACCGAGTCACACAACGCGTGACGCGTTCATGAATTCATCGTTGGCTTTTTCTCGAGACGTGAGCTTGGGCCGCCCTGTGGTGTCCGTATAGCGAGGTTGACGATGCACGAGGTTGTGACTCAGGACACAGAAAATGTCCGTTGTCCGTATTAACCGGTGTCCGTATTTAGCGGGTTAATTTAAGAGAAAATATATGAGCTTTTCGTTGGGACAAAAGGAAGTGTCCATATTAAGCGGGTGTCTGTAGAGCGGGGTTTTCCTGTAGAGAAGACACAATAACTTTCCAAAAAAACAACTTTTATATGGCGTGTTTCAAAATTAATACAATCAGTTAGTTATGCCTACGCTGACAGCTCAAAAACTCAAATCTATTTCTATCTATTGCTAGAAAATGATATTCCTTAAGTAATCCTTAACAATTGACTAAGATAAACATTCTGTTACTTTGTACTGTGCAACTTTTAACATCCAGTTTTTTTCTTGCAAAGTATTTGCTTGAGAATTGATATTACTTATGCAATCCTTAACAATTGACCACTGTCTATTAGCCAACCATTCTTAAATGCACTGTACACACTCAGTTTTTCCTTCCTTAACAATTTTTTTCTTGCAATGTTTTTGCTCGAGAAATGATGTTCCTTAAGCAATCCTTAACGACTGACCACTGTCTATTAGCCAACACCCCATTACTTTGCTCAATGCATTTTAAACATTCACTCTTTCCCGGCAAAATCTTCTTTTTTATGCAATTTCCGAGATGTTTGGAAATCTCATCCTTTTCTTCCTTTGTCCAAGGATTATGCTGCTTTGTCCTCTTGCGTGCACCAGCAATACGTGATGATAAGAACAGGACATTTAAATACTGCTGATTTCGTTTTGTCATAACTATTGCAATTTCCTCAAATGTGATTGGTTGTTTAACAGCTTTATTTTTGCCTAATTATTCTGTAGGGTTGTCATCGGATACCTGTAATCGGACAGTTGGCTGTAATCGGACACTTGTAATCGGACAGTTAAATCTGCCAATCACATTGCACTAATCCAATTAAATTAAGCAATCATAAACATCGAGGTATCCACAGCAAAGACAACTTTTTCAAAAGCTGGGAAGTTTCAAAACTGGAGGATTTTTTTAAACATTACACAGTGTCTGTACAACAGATATTTTCTGCAATTTCTACTTACTCCCATTTAGGTCAGTAGAATGGTCAAGTGTTATGATTTGTCAGTAGAATGGTCAAGTGTTAGTGGTGAAACAGCTCACATCAGCTACATCATTTAAGCTTGTGTTCCAAAAGTGCAAGAAAGAGAAATATCGCAATCCAATCTTTTTCGGAAATTGTTATGGTTATGATTAATTGGTAACAGGACTTTGTGTCGTCCAATTCAGGCTGTAATCATACTCGTGATAAACAAATCGGACTCCCGCTGCGCAGTCGTCCGATTTTGTTATCACTCGTATGATTACAGCCCGAATTGGACTCCACTCAGTCCTATTACCATTAGAAATTATGTTAATAATGAAAACATTTTTAATCAAATGTTACAGACACGAGATCTAGTTGTAATAATTTCTATTTTCCACTTTAAAGACGTAACTAGAAAATTAACTTCAACTCCTAGGTTTCTGTTGTGTGAGTAGTATTATGTTTTCCAAGTTACATCTCATGACTTCAAGCTTGGCAGTCTTCTAGATTCTCTTCATACTTCATAAAATTACACTTTTTTGATTGGCTGAAAATAGCTAGGTGCCTTTTTCATTTATCATTAGTGAAAAAGTAATAACTCATGTACAAAATAATATAAACTAGGCACAGCAACAAACCAATCAGATTTACACAAAGTAGGTTCTGATTGATACATGCAGTAGCTGACAAAAATAAACAAAAGCTTGGATACTTTTATGTATATGGAAAAAAACTAAAAAAATTGCATTCCTGAGTAAAAATTCAGCTGAAGGACAAATTTTGATGGCACACACTTCATTTAATCAATACTGTCAAATGTATCTACCATCAGTTTGTTGATTTCCTGTAAATGTGTATCTTTCATGTATACGTTATGAATAATTAATAATATGATTTCTCATATGATAAGCACCTGTAAATTTTTCAAATACTTTAAACTGCACACACGCTATGAGCTCAACATTTGTTGTTTGTGAAAAATTTACTTCTGCTTATTTAGAATACCAAAGTACACTTTAATTAACTTAGCTTAGACTTTGTTGAGTTTTTATGAAGACAGTTCAATGGAACTGATATTTGTTAAATTTATAGTTAAAAGTTAGAGCTACTTGATGTGGATTAGATAACCATCAGGTATCCTCGGAGACCCAGGGTTCTAATCCCATCTGTAGACCCCTTAAAAGCACAGTCTTAACAGATCAGTTCCAAACTGTCACAGTCATTCTGAATTTTGATTGGTACCAGATGTTCAATCTTGTTCTGGCAAATGAGAGAGAAGCAGGTCTCACAAGTCTTCTTGTGTGCTCTAACACAAAGTGATACATGAAATTCAGTTGCTTACCATGTTTGTTTTGGACCTTTTTGTACAGTAGATTAGCACTTTGCATGATGGTGTGAAGTCAACCATTTTCATGATGATGTCAAGTTCACCCATTCATTTCTCCACATAACTTGAATTTGGTAGACTCACTGGCATGAAATTACAATTTCAATAATGAGAAAACTTGAAAGCTTCGGGTAGTTTAAATCATGTGATACCATCATGAACTTGCCTGTACATTGAACTCTGCTGTGTTTAAGTTAAGTCTCTGATTACTGTTCCTGAAATCTATTATGGTGACTCTCTATCTCTATTGAACTTTCTGTTAAATAAAACCTCCAGTTCAAATTATAAATCTTATTGGGTTAAAAATTATTAGCAACGTTAATGTAATGTTACTTCAGTGTACTTTACTCAACATATGATTCATTAATTAAAAATATTGCTTGTGCTCTGATCTTGTAATGCACCTTTTTTTCCCTGGACTCTTCCATTTGCAACTTCATATCTACCTACCTGAACTAAATTTTTCTGTGTTCTTTATTGAAAATACAGTCCCACAAAACCTAAATACAATAATTATAGTAAACGTTTTGCTCTCAATCAACTGAAAGTTGAACTTTATGCCCTAATGGACAAAAGAAACCTACACTCAGCATTGTGTTACTTTACATGTATGTATTGTCCAAAATTAGTCATACATTCAAACCAAATCAAGCTCCCAATGGCTTCTAGTGTGGATTACATCATTTTCCGAATGTCCCTGCCCTTCTCCAAAGTTTTGTCCTTGTGTACTGGTACACAAAATGTCAAAAATATTCATATGAAATTCTTCCCTAGAGTTCATTTCACATCATTTGCCTTGGAAAAGACAATCAACCTACAAACTTCAGAAGTCAATTCCACTTCGTTGCGTAAACATAATCATGACTGAATCTATCAGACCACTATGGGAGATTATGCTGATGTTTTTTCAGTTCCTTAAATCCTCGGGTTACATGTGCTACCTTTGTTGTCAAAATGAGACCACCATAACAAAGTTTGGCCAATAACTCTCATCTTCAGAATGAACATTTCAGAACTTTTGTATGCTAGTTATCTTGTGTTATTGATGAACAGGATCAATATTGAAAACTATCTAATGGTAATCAGATATTAGCTCTTTTGATAGAAACCCAATGAGACACCAGACACTAAAAAGCAGCTCAATTTCGTAAGCCACACATGTACGTATTGCGGACCTATTTTGAGTATCTGTTACGTTTTTAAATGAGATGTGTCGATTAATGATAAAATTTAAGGGAAAGGTTCCTGCAACGTGATCAACTGGTTGTAGTTTCTGTGCCAATTACCTTCTTCCAGTCAGACAGTCCCTTCTAATGGATCGTTTTGTTTGTTTTTATTGTAGATTTCTTAGCATTATCTGCATTGAGAAAGGATTTTAAGTACACGCTTCATTCTGCCCACAGCGCTGGAACATTTAGTAATTTAAGGACCCAATTTAAAGCGTTTTGTTATTTTGTACGTATTTTCGATTCACCCAACACCAGCTACGTTGGATACTATTTTCCTTTATGTGCAATTTCTTAGTAGTATGATAATAATAATAAGTCTTTATTAAGCACTCTAAACAACAAACGTGTTTAGTTACAATGATATGAAATCAGCAAGTATAAAACTAATAAACTAACTAAATTACTAACTGAATAACTAATAAGAGAACAAACATCTATTAATAAAGGTCCTTTTGAAACGTTCAGTTCTGACAAGCGGGAGAATATAATTATGGCGCCTCTTACGTAGCGTATCCATTGTTCGCTCTGGTGGCAAAAGGTCATCTAAAGCTGTTGGAAAATCGCTGTCGGTGATCTTGGCCCACAACTTCTTATCTTTTAGAATAATAATATTTTCAATCGAAAAAAGCTCTTTACAGTAGCCAAGCTTAAAAGCTCTCTTGAACAGCCTGTCTATGCGACTCAGATACTTATGATAATACGCGCAGCCCCATACTTCTACAGCATATGTAAATATAGGTAGAATAAGACTGATAAAGAGAAGATGAAGATGATCCAGCGGCAGTCCATAGAATTTACAAACACGTAAGATGTACAGACGACTACTGGCTTTCGATATAATATTATCAAAATGTAAGTCCCAGTTACACGGATCAGATTGAAAAGTTACACCCAACAACTTCAGACATGGTTTACGCTCTATAGAAACCAGAGGAGCAGGTAAGGCCTTAGTGGATTTGCCTCTAAGAAGCATCTCCCACGTTTTCTTGAAGTTTAGTTGCATACGATTAGCAGATGTCCATGCGACGATCGATCGGACCTCCTCAGCTGCTAAATTGCCGTTATTAGCCAGCGATTTTACTGGAATACTTAATGTTAAATCATCAGCATATTTCACAAGTAAATTCTGATTTGGTAGAATGGCCTTATAATATCATTGACCATAATAGAAAATAGTATAGGGCCTAAAACTGTCCCCTGAGGGACACCTCTATTGATATTTACATAGTCCGTGACAATGGCATCAACAACAACTCTTTGTTTCCTGTTCTGTAAAAAACTAATAATCCAATTGGTCACGTATGGATTTATATCAAGTGTTTTCAACTTAGAGCAGAGGATATCATGAGGGACCGAATCAAAAGCTTTGCTGAAATCAAAAGAGAAGATTCTAACACAATCAAAACCCGACTCAAGCCATTTCAGCCAAGCATATTGACACTTAATTAAGGCCATTGTCGTATTGTGGCCTTTGCGGTATGCAAACTGGTCGAAGCTAATGAAGTTCTTCATATATTGAGATAATTCTTGTCTGTATACAAGACGTTCAAAAACCCTCATTATTACATTAGTCAGCGAAATAGGCCGCAACTGTGTGCAATTTTTAAAGTTGGGCTCTTTAGGCAAGGGAGTTATGTCGGCCAATTTCCAAAGATCAGGCACAATGTGATTTTCCAAAGAACAGTTGAAAATATGGGTAACAACAGGAGCGAGGTCGTACGCAAACTCTTTCCAAAACCAGTACGGGATTCCATCTGGACCAGAGGCAGTTCTTTTTAATTTCAGTAGACTCCTGGTAACACTGGAGACCGTTAAAACAGGCATCTCGCTTGATTCCGGGATAGTGACAGTGTCAATGGGTTTATAAAGGGGATCAGTGTTAATGGAACAGAAAAAATTATTGATCTCGCTCGGGGAGATAATTGAGCTTACTTGCGAGTTGGTAGACTTCCTTCCTGTCAGGGAATTGACTGTTGACCACCAAGATTTGGATCCTGCACTATGTTTCTCAAAATTCCCTTTAACTGCTCGAACTTGATTATCTCTGATCAACTTGTTGATTTTCTCTTGAAGAGTTTGGATCTCAATCGAAACAGAATTTCCTGACATGTTACTTCGCCGAATCAATTTTCGCCGTTGGTCCAGTAGATGTTTGATTAGAGGAGAAAAGAACGGGGGGTCCCTATTAGACACACGTACTGATATACCCGGAAAACACTCATCAAACATGGTCTTAATCTTGGTACAAAAAAGATTAAGTTTTCCATTCACATCTCCGCATTGATAAACATTGTCCCAGTTATGAAACTTCAACAGTTTATCCATATCCAGTTTATGATGATCACGAACATCTCTGAACATCACAGTTTTCCTTTCAGCCTTAAGTGGGATTCTGGGATATACCAGGACCACAGAGTGGTCAGATCGAACTAGTCCTTGAGTGACCGATACTTTCCTCCAAAAATGTGGGACGTTAGTAATCAAAACATCCAAAATTTTGTTCTTTCTTGTCGGTGTATTTACCATCTGGAATAAATTTAGTTGTGTAAGAAAATCATTGTAATCTAGCTGATTGAGGTCACCACAAATTATAAGGTTGCTGTTAGGATTACCAGTCAATAAATGATCACAACTATTTGTTAGATGTTCCAATAAATCATCAGGACAATATGGCGGATCTGGAGGATGATAAACAGCAGCCACATAAAAGCTTGAGTTGGGAGTTGTAATTTTAGCCCACAAACATTCAAAGGCATTATAAAAAACGCTGTCTAATCGTTCCAACAACCAATCGCTCCTACAGACAATAGCAACACCACCGCCTGACCGGTCAGTTCTATCCTTTCGCAAAATTGAGTAATCCTTCGGACAAACGAGATGAGATGGAAAATTTGGTTTAAGCCATGTCTCGGAGATGATGCAAATATCGCAGTTGTTTGAGTGCAATTCCATATGCAAAGCAGAAGCAGCATCAACTTTCACAAGTGATCTTGCATTAATGACCATACATTTGGGGATTATTCGGGGTAAAGAAGAAGAGTGAGTAGAAATGAAATGCAAATTTGTATCCTTGGGTCGAAGTCGTGCGCGTTTGGTCGTTGATAAAAAACAGTGGTCAGTGACACGAACTGGAATCTTGTGATGTTGTTGACGAGATCCAAATCTAGAATTAACACCAGCTCTACGACCTCTAGCTCTATAAATTCCCAATGACTTTAAGCGATGAATAAGATAATAATCCAGTTTAACCTTAGGACAACAGGAGCGAAGTTGAAATAAATTACGTCGACTGAAAGAAAATCTAGGTCTTGAAGTTTGAAGTGAAGCAGTCGGCATGTAGTTAAAATTTTCCGGACCCGGGTTAATTTCAACATCCACTGCAATAGATAGGTCCTTGATGAAACCTCTTTCAGACAGAGCAGCAACCGTCGAACCATGCTTTGACCATTTGGTGATCGGTAACTTAGTTGAGCGTCTTGCAACAGCAAGGTCTTGACCGCAGCGAGAAGCAGAAAATAGCTTTCGACTGACGCTAAAAGGGCCTTTAAAGGTAGATGGAGGCGAACAGATTGAATTGTGCTTGTCAAGATACTGAACGAACAAGGTAACAAAGCACAAAAGCTTAAAAAAACAACAATGACGACAGTAAGCGGCAGCCATCTTGGCGCACATACATAACTCATTCAGAAATCGAAGAGCTCCTCTGGTCACTCCTCATGTTTTTTATCACGTAAACTGCGGTGTTATACAAGGATTTCCGGCCTTAAGAAAAGCCGTAACAACACACGTGAAAAAAATATCGTATTTTTCCACGTGTGTTGATATGCCCAATTACCTGCTTACACGTCACTCGCCTTTGGCGCTACTCGGTCAGGTTGATGAATGAACAGCAAAGTCTTCACGATTCTCAATTACAAGTTGTTTGTTGGAGCTTTCTCGAATTATGGCGGCTAAAACACTAAAAAATCCGTATCACTGACAGATATGAGGTTCTGAGGTTCAAACTTTCCTAGAAGAGGAAGAAAACCAATATACTAAAGGGAAAACCGAAAGTTGCGCATTTAGTGGCTTTGGCGTTAGCATTTTTCTCGGCTGAGAGTGAAAATCGACAACCGGAAGATTTGCCATTAGCCGATTTTGGTCGTTTACCTGAAAGACTTCTTCTGTCGGTAAGGACAAAATCAATAAATGAGAATTTTTTTGAATCGAAAATTACGACCATTGTTGTTTTTGTAATCATGACTCAACGCATTTTTCCATCTTAAGAGTCTGCGCCAACGCACCTTACGATTGTTATTCGAAGATTGTCGATTCATTTATTTTCATTAATCAATGAAGTCGCCTTTTCTTCCCAGTGAAGGGCTATTGTGTTTATATGATGGACAAAATAATACATGGTTGCTTGTAGATATGGAATTTCTCTTCTCGTGTTCAACTCGACGACGAGAAATTTCATATCTACGCGCGCCTATGTATTGTTGGAAATCCCAGTATAGCAACACTAGTCACTCGCGTAGTTTTCTTTTCCTATCTTTATTCTAGTCGTCACACACTTCGTATCGCGTCGATCTTAGCCTATATCTTTTTTCAAAACCACAATCCTAAAGACCACCCTTGGTTTTGCGTTGCGAGGTTACACGGCTGACGTCACTTTTCCGACACCCTCCCCCCATTTGTCTCGGAGAGCAAATGTCTGTCTTAGCTTGTGCTACAGCGAATACGTCCCGTATCACTTTTGCTTCCGCCTGACTGTCTGGTGTGGCCGTTGTCTTAATATCGGCTGGCCATCGCTCTCGGTCTAGTAGCCACTCAGGCCCTCTCCACCATAGCTCTTCATTTTCCACGCTTCCGCTCCGACTGCCAAGGTCAGCTGGGTTGTCCTTTGTACCCACATGACGCCAGTTTACTTCTGGGTGTTGCTGGATTTTCTGCACTCGATTGCTTACGAACTGCTTGTAACTCCCTGCTCCCTTGATCCAATGTAACGCAACGCTGCTGTCCAACCAGCAAACCATATTTCCAACTGGGAAACCCTCTAATGCTTCCTTAACGTTCACAATGAGATTGGTCGCCATGTGACCGGAGACCAACTCGAGGCGGGGGATGGTGAGGCCTTGCTTCGCCAGTCTAGCTTTGGCTGCTATCAGCCCAACACTATCACCGGATGGTTGAGATATGACACCGTACACTGCCGCAGAAACGCCTTGTCCGCTTGCGTCGCCGAAACAATGTAGCTCAATGTTGCTGATCTCTTCAAAGTGTTGAGGTATGGCTCTGGGTACGGAAATGCTCACTGGTAGCTGTGCTTCCCATCTTGACCACTTGGTTCCCAGTTGACCAGGAAGTTGAGCATCCCATCCGACTTTCAAATCACATGCGTCTCGGTACAGTAGTTTTCCACTCAATGTCATAGGCGCTGCGAGCCCTAACGAGTCATACACTCTTGCTATCTTCGCTAGTATCCCTCTCTTTGTCACTTGGGTGCGGTCAGTTGGGAAATTTATTTCAATGGTATCTTGTCGCTTGTTCCATGGAAGCCCGAGAATAGATCCCCCTCCTTCTTGAGGTGCACCCAACTGTTCTTTCGCGAATGTAGTATCTTCGCTAAGAGAATCACCAGGGGACTCCACTGCCGGAACATTTGAATGCCACTTGTGCAGCTTGAATGAGGCTTGGTTAAAGACATGGGTAACGCCTGCTTTGACTTCAAGGGCAGCTTTTACGGTGGGTCCCCCGCTGATAAGGTCATCGACGTATAGACTCTTCTCTATTTCCCTCACCAGGTCCGGATTCTCGGTACGACAGGCTTCCAGGTGTTGTTTGATAACTCCCCAAGAAGAAAGGGCGATGGGGCCAAACCAAACAGAGCTCTCGTGAATCTCAGTATTTCCACTCGCCTGGATTGCAAGTCCGTGATCCAGTGGAATCTCATGGCATCCCTGTCTTCTTCCCGTATTCGTACTTGTAAGAACGCTTGCTTGATATCACCTGTTAACGCGACTGGGTGGAAACGTGCACGGACAAGAACAGCCCAAAGCTTGTTCTGCAACGGAGGTCCCGCGTGAAGGCACTCGTTGAGAGAAGGAGCCTTCTCTGAAGCTCGGGCAGAGGCGTCGTACACGATTCGAAGTTTGGTACTCTCTGCAGCTTCTCTCACCACTGCTTTATGTGGAATATAGAACTCCTTTCCCACTGGTGGGCCTGACACTCGCTCCACTGTTCCTTCGTTAAGCTGGTCTTTAATTATGGCGTCATACTTCTGGAGTATTCCGTTCTTCTCCAGTTTCCGAATGGTACTTTCCAATCGCTTCAAGCTTCCCGCTCTGTGGTTGGGCAGTGGAGGGTGGTTTCCCCTCCAGGGTAGCCCCGTCTCGTACCATCCCTCTGGCCCTCGTGTTAATTGTTCCTTGAATTCTTCATAAACATCTGCTTGATCTCCGCCTGGTGTGTCACGCAATCCTAGAACATCTAATTTGCATAGTTGTTCGTAATCTGCCGCTGTCGTCTGGGTCAAGAACATATTAGAGAGGTCAACTTCTTTACCTGGTGACATAATTGTCCATCCGAACTTTGTTAGCTCTGCAACAGGTTCGCCGGCACGTCCGATCTTTGGTATGGTTTCTGTCTTTATTTTCGCGTACTCGCTCGCACCCAGGATAATGTGGACTGGTAGCTCAGGCTTCTCGTCTCTGTCGTCCATGTATACCCCATCCAAGTAGGGATATTTCTCCAGTATCCCAGCATATCCTGGGTTGTCAAGTGATAGCAATGTACTACGGTCCACTCTGGTGACTTCCGTTTCCAATCGAAATTTTCCATCAAGGCTGCCAATCGTCACGCTATGAACTCCGATGACCTTGTTTGTTGACCCAAGCATCATCTCTATGCGCTTGAATTCTTCTCGTAGCGGTTTGTTTCCCAGGTGTTCAAGGATAGCTGACGACGCGTATGAGCTGCCTGCCCCAGTGTCTAGGAGTGCGCGGCATTTGATTCCATTTACTTCCACGACAACAACGGGATACACGACTCTCTCTGTTCCTTTGTTTTGTGCCGTCATAAATCTTCCCCTCGTTGTGTGACCGCTTGGTGGGCGATCACATATTGACGTGTGATGTCGGCGTTGACAGTTATGACACCCGCGGCTTCTACAGCTGTCTGCTCTGTGTTTGTCACTTGTACAATTAAAACACAACTGTTTTTGGCTCAGAATTCGTTTGCGGTCTCCGACCGCGACAACTTTGGTGCAATTAGCGGATGTGTGGTTCGTGTCATCGCAATAGACGCATCCGCGCATCTGTCCTCCATTTGCTTGTTGTTGGACCTGATAAGACCTTCCGCGTGGCGGCGGAACGCGGGTATTCCAGTCGTTGCGATCATTCTTCCTCTTGGACACACTCCCACCATCGCTTTCTTCTCCTTCTGAATTTATGTCTCTCCAACCTTTAATTGCCTGAATCAGTTTAGCGAAATCCCAGTCTCGCCAATCTTCGTGTCCCCGGACTAAGTCTCCCTTTATTCCTTTCAGTTTGTCTAACACCGCCCTCACATTTCCGGAGACTTCACGTAACTTCCCGAGCGTCTCTAAGCTTTGTACATTGAACAGAAGCCTTTTGTAAAACTCATTAATTTCTTTTGGACTGGCGCTTGTGATGGTAGGCAAACCCATGATGTTGTTTACATATGCATTTACAATTTCTGACGTTTTCCCGTACTCCGATTTTAGGATGGCCTTCGCCCTTTCGTACCCCTCAAGATTGAACGGGAGTCCATCTATGTCCGCTCGTACCTTTGTAACAAGGAGTTCCTTTAGATAAGCGAACTTTGTCACTGCTGACAGATCCGTCGCGTCTATTTCCGCGGAAAATTTATTCCAAAAAGAGAGCCATTGTTCGAAGGACCCATCAAACTTCGTTATTGATAGCTTTGGCAACTTTGCGTGCATTCCGGTATCGCCTGATAACCCTTTCCCTTTTTTGCTACCTAATTCTTCTGATTTTTTTTCGTAATCAAGCTTCATTTCCCATTGTGCTTTTTCAAACGCGAGTTGCTCCTCTCTCTCCTTCGCGATTGTCGCTTTCTCGCTTTCTTTTTCGGCCATTTGCGATTTTTTCTTCACCTCCCCCAAACACTTCCCAAGGTATTCGATCTCCGCGTCTACACCCTCAATAACTTTGTCTATTTCATTGCTCCATGCACATACCTCGTCCATTTGCTCACCCTTTGCAATCTTCTTCTCTTCGATCTTTAATTTGACCTCGTCCGCTTCTTTTGCTAAACACACCAACCCGTCACGGTGTCTCCCAATAGTTGTCGCGTTTGCCTTGTCCACAATGCCCTTTCCCTTTTCTTGCTTGTACGCCAAAAGCTTGAGTTTTGCGTCCAAATTCTTCTGAAGTGCCTCCAGTTCCATGTCTCGATCTCAGTCCCGTCGGAGGTGCCAGTTAGTGTTGGAAATCCCAGTATAGCAACACTAGTCACTCGCGTAGTTTTCTTTTCCTATCTTTATTCTAGTCGTCACACACTTCGTATCGCGTCGATCTTAGCCTATATCTTTTTTCAAAACCACAATCCTAAAGACCACCCTTGGTTTTGCGTTGCGAGGTTACACGGCTGACGTCACTTTTCCGACAGTATTATTCTCTATGGATCACATTTCTAAGGTTTTAGATTTCGAGAATGATCCTCTTTCATGCACGCTGTTTTGTGCCTTTTTATTTACATTCTTTTTAATGGCGCGGTTAGCCAATATCGTACCTCGGTTCCGTCAGTGCTTCGATCCTTCGCGTCATCTTACTGGGAGAGAGGTCGCAAAGAACCAACGTGGGCTAATTGTTACTTTTAAATGCACTAAGACTAAGCTTAGTTTAGGCTTTATGGGCATCAAAAGTGATTAAATAGTCACGAAATCTTTTTGTCTCCAAGGTTCAAAGTAATTTTATAATCATTGCATCAATAAAGGTAATTAAAGTATGTAAAAGTTATAGCTATGCTAACAGCGGCAAAACAAACTTGGCAGCTGGATTCGATCGCACGATTGTTATTTTAAAAGGTGTATAAGAAAATACAGTTTTTGTGATGGACTCTGGGATTTATCAGCAACGATACCCATAATATTCATAGGTCTTCTACACCTGAAAAAGGGGTTGACAGAAAAGAATACACTGAGCGAAATACTGTGAAAAGGCAACAGATTCGAACGTTTGCGTATGCCCAGAAATCGATCTTGGCGAAGTCCTATTTAATGACGTATTGTTTTAAGAGAAAGACGTGGAAAGTTTTGAATGAGATTCATTGTGTTTCCTTCT